GCTGGCACCGCCGCGCCCGCCAGCCCCCTGCCCCCGCCCCCGCCCGCCCGGACTGCCTCCTCGGCGAGCTGTCAACAAAGGAGAATCAGGTTTGGCATCGGGAGGCCGCCGGGCTGCCCGCCCTGAGCCCAGCTCAGCCCGGACCTACCGGCCACCTTAAGTGGCCAAGGGGGCAACGAAAATCTGCCAGGGCCTGGGGATGCCGGTGGGGGCCTTGTGAGCTCAGCTGGCGTAGCCCCCTTGCGAGGAGCTCAGGACGCCAGCAGAGTGGGTGAGGGCAGTGGGGATGTGCCCCCCCCCCCCCGCCTTAGCATCACCTGTCACCGCGCCCATCCTGCACACCTCCGTCTTCATCTTTAATTTGAGTGAGGGGTGAGTGGGGAGGAACGGGCCTTGGCTGATGAGGTTGAGAAGGGGGCCTCAGAATCCGTGGGAGCAAATTTTCTCTGGTAGTGAATTTCAAAAAGCCAACAAGCTGTCAAATGAGGTTTGAAGTTATTATTAATTATTATTTTTATAATGCAAAGGTGAGCTTTGCTCTGAAGTTCAAGCTTCCAGGTCTATTAGGGATCCTGGGCACCTGGCAAGCGTGGGGGAACCAGAGGGGCACTTTCCATATCCAGGCCCAGGGAGCTTGCCTGGCAGGGCAATCAGAGGTGGGGGTAAGATAACTTATTTTAATAACCTAAGGTGAGAGGTTTCTGGATTCCAAATGGCAATGCCTCGGTGGTTTTACGACCATTGATTCCGTGCCATAGAGTCTCAGTATGTCCGCAGTGCCTGGACGCGGCTTTCAGAAAGAGGCCTGCAAGCTAGACCCCAGTGAGTTCGCAGGATCTGCGTAGTCCCTGCTCGCGATTAGAGCACAGGCGAGTTTACTCAACATGTTCAAGTGTTCTGATAAGCTCCATCTACTGCCGTCTGGTGGCCACAGTCCTCAGTGGTATAAACAGGAAAAAAAAAAAAAAAAAAATCACTCCTGGGAGCCCTGGAGGGAGTCCATGAAATTCTCTGAGCAGGAGCTTAAGAAAAAGGGTGGTGGTAGTTAGAAATTTAGACTCAACGGTGGTCTTGCACAATCGTCCATTCAACACAGTGTAGGATGTGTGTGTAGGAAAATCTAGGCTTTACTTCATCCACAGAAATTAACTAATTCTTCAGAAGTTCTTTCATCATTGTAATTAGCTGAAATTTGTCTCCCTGTGACTTTCACTGGTTATTCCTGGTGGTGTCCTGTGGAGCCACATAGAATCCGTCTAAGCTGTTTTCCCTGATCCATACTTGCTTTTCTCTTTGAACTACTTTAGCATTTATTGTTGGCATCCCTCCAGGCAATTATCATAAGTTACCCCATATTATTATTTATTTCTCTTTATAAGTAGGTCTTGTCTCCCCATCCAGACAGTCTTGTCTACCCTCTTATCTCTGAGTAGACTGAATATAAACCACAATTTATTAAAGAATATGATTTGAAGAAGATGCTAGAAGATTTTAGAGCTACTTTTCTCCCACTTGATCGATACATGGAACATCAGTCTGGCCAGCTACACCCAAGACAGCTAGTGGTAGGGTTGAAAATATCCAATTGATAAAGCTTGAGGCTGAAAACTAGGACCTTCTGGTTCTAAATCAAATGTTGTGTGACCCTGGAAGGGGGTCACATCTCTTCCCCATGCCTCGATTTAATCACATCTTGGGAAGATTATAATACAATTTAAATAATTGTCTCATACCACCTCCCCCACCCATGGTCCAGAAATAAATCCTAGAATGAGGAGCAAGACAGGATAAAATGAAACAGACCCCTCCACTCACTCCATCCTTCATCCTCAGCCTCCCCCATGCTTCCCAAATGCAGGGAGGGGAAGAGAGAGAAAAGACAGGTGGAAGAACACACTGTAGGCAGCATAACACAATATCGCCAAGTTTCCACATTGTCACTGAACACGGTCTAAGATCTGAGTTCTGTGAGGTTATGGGAGTACCTATGGTCAGCATAAGCCCCAGAAGCACACTAATCCAGTCTACTGAGCTGTCGCCTGGATGAAGCACACTTAACATTTCTGGGCCTCAGTATGTCCATCTATAAGATGGGAATTTCTACCTTCAATCTTCACATAGTTGATGGAATTAAAATGGATCTATGGAAAACCATTGGAAGAATTAATAGCATCATTAAAATGGAAAGATTTTTTTCATATATTTAGTCCCAATAAGCTAGAATAAATATGGATCTTATTAGTTAAGCACATAATTATAACGATATATCTTGGGAATAAAAAAAGAACAACTCAAGTTCATGGTTTGTATTTAAATATAACATCCCATGTGGCAATGACAATATACATGAGCTTTCAGTCTTTAAAGGTGCTCACTAAGCGCATCCCTTTGATCACTGGGTATTCATTCATTCATTCATTCATTCCATAAATATTATTTATTAACAGTACATTTATGAGATTTCTTTTTTTAAAGGAATTGTATATAGTACATGATTATCTCTTCACATACTTTTTAAAGAAATCATGCTAATAATCATGCTAATAGGCTCCATACCCTCAGACCTGTCTATGTCTTCGTGGAACTCGAGTTTGATGTCTTCTTCTTCATCCTGTCCAGCTGGTGTCAAACCCATCGCCCCTGGGGACTCATGGAGCCTCTGCCAATGCCTTGTAGTTCATCCTCATTTCCACGGGGACAGACGGTCACAGCCCAGCACAGTTCTGGGCAAGTAGTGGGTATTTAATAAATACTTATCACATGAATGAATGGATGGATGGATGGATGGTTGGATGGGCATCTGTTTGTCTTATGCCAAATTCTCATCTTTGGAAAATCCTAATAAGTTCAACAGGGTTCTCCTCCACCCCAGCCCGCCCACCTGGGCCAGTGGCGGTGCTCCTGAAGCCTCACCCCTGCAAAATCATCTGTGGCTGCTTCACTCTGTTATCCTGGGCCCCCCACCCCCACCCCTACCTGTTCTTTGCTTGTCATTAGATGGGTGATTTGGGGAAGAAGATCAGACAAGTGGAAGAGGACGAGGCAACAGCATTCTAGAAATGGAGCTGAGCTTTTTTTCTGGGAGAAATGAGTAAGTATTTCTCCTGCAGAGGGCAAGTCTGGTTGAGCAGCCCTCCTCAGGCTCTGGAAAGTGAGCCTTAGACTTTGGGGAGAAGAGGCCCAAATGGGCAGCCAGCCGATCCCCAGAGGGAGTTCTCGGCCACTGCACCAGCTCCAGCCCCGAAAATAGACGCCAGCGCAGTAGCCCCTCAGATCCCCAGAGGTGTTTTTGGTGCTGGAAACCAGCCATACTTCGGCAGGCTTTCAGCATTAAGTCTGCTCCCTTTCAGAGGTGGAGGGGGGCGGGTGGCAAGCCAGCCGCGTTTTGCATGGGAACGTGGCCTGCGAGTGTGTGTGTGCATATATTTAGGGTGCCTGGAGTGGGATGGGGGCTGGGCCTGGGACACAGTGTGCCCGGACCGCTGGGGTCAGAGGTCAGGGGCTCACGCTTGCCAGTGTCAATGGGGGACATTTGGGTGGTGCGTGGTCTGTAACCAGGCTTGCATCTAGCTGCCAAAGCTGGGGTCATCGCTGCCGCCACCGACTCGGGCTATCTCTACTCCAAACGCATATCATCTCTCAGGTGCCCTCACCCCGAGTCTTCCCATTTCAAGGCAGGGACACGTTCCCCTCGTGGGTGGGCCCCTCTGTCTCCCATGTCGTACCTCACCTTCGCCCAGTGGACGCTGGTCAGGCAGCCACACGGCAGAAGCGGCAGGCTCCTCTACCCCCCACATTGTTAGGAACAAAGAGATGGGTCTGACGGGCCAGACTGGAGTGCGTGCGCCAAGTCCCATGAATGGAGGCGAGGCTGCTGGGATGCCAGAGCGGTGAGCCTCAGGCTGGGCCGTGGGGACACGGGCCCAGGACACAGCCACGGGGCACCTGCTCTGGGATTCTCAGTACCATTCATAAAGATGTCACCCCCCTCTTGCCTCCCCTCTCATCTCTTCACAAATCCCGCTTTCCTGTGTACTTTAAACAGTAGCGAGCCTGTTAAGGCTCCAGATCAAACAAGGCAGGATTTCACTCCTTTCTCGCTAAACCTCCCACAAGCGGAGCTCATGTCCTGTATACCTCGCCCTCTTTCCCAAAGTCCCCTCCTCCCTCCATCCATCTGGTATGCTGCTCTGGGAGGAGAATATTCTCGGTGAGGCCCAACCAATTGCAGCCTAAAGCTACTTAAACAATTCCCTGGAACAAGCACAAGAAGCCTGCACGTGCAAGGGAAGGGGTCAGGGCGGGAGTTTGGACTGCTGGGCTTCGGGCGTGGGACGTGAGGGCTAGATGAAGTCCTCTGCTCACGATTTTGGCTACTGCTCTTGCCTGGCACCGCGAGTCTGTGAAAGAGCCTTCCTCCTTTATTTTTTTTCTAAGAGGTTCCCCCCCAAAAGGAGACACTATTTATTTGGTCCTGTAATTCCTGGCTAAGCCTCTCTGTGCCTCAGTTTCCCCCTCTATGAAGTGGAAACAATATCCCTTGCCTTGCATATTCTGCTTCACAAGAATCAAGTAAGACACCGGCTGTGAATTGGAGAGAGTTATGCAAGCATATGGGGCGGTTGTCTTAAAATCATGAAGTTCCTTCCAGAACCAAACTTAGTTCTCCACTGCTGTTAACTACAATTCATTCTCTTGTTCGGTTTTACCAGGGAAAATAGTTGGGCTCATTAGAAATATTCTTCTGCTTATGGGGCGCCTGGGTGGCTCAGTCAGTTAAGCGTCTGACTCCTGGTGTTGGCTCAGGTCATGATCT